GAGGCATTCAAAAGACATTTTTTACTCTTGCGGAAGAGTAATTAGGTCGGTACCTCTTTCCCTGCCAGCATTAGCTGCTCCAAAGAGAACCCTGCCCAGTATTTAATGCCCAAACACAAGAACCATCATTTCCACTGATTCAAGCATCATGGGTCTTGATGTCCCAATGTTCCCAAAGAGTCCTTTTATTTTAAAAGGATCACAAAGGACATACGTAAAATGTGATGTAAAATGTGATATCATCATCTCTGACTTTCTCATCTGAATTCTTACAGCTGGCCTTACTTATGTTTTCTGAATAAACATCAATACAACACCAAGAAAGAAGATTATAAAGAGTTTGCATTTTCAAAGGAAAGGCCATCACGAGGATAAATTCAAATTTATAAATATGAATATGAGCAATAATATAATACATCTATATAAATTTGATTGTTTCAATGCTAGGATTCTTTCACTGACTGTGTTCACTGCAGGGGAAAGAGGATAAAACTGCTTTAGCATGTGAATTGTGAAATGCAGGGAGAGAGGGAATAAATAAAGACTCATTCATCAAGTAGAAGCTGGAAACGGAGTATATACTACTAACCTATTTTTCTTTTCCTCAGCATGAGAAAGGCTTTTGGACAAAATTATCACCGAATCTCATGATAGAAAGTAAAGCAAATGATAAAAATTGGGGGTAGGTATTTGGCAGAAGAATTTTTACACATACTTCTTGCTAAACAAAGCCCAGAAATGGCTTTATGAATGATCAGAAGTGTTCAAATTCTTTGACCAGCCTGCATTAGTGTCCTAATTCTTTGACCAGCCTGCATTAGTGTCCTCAAAAACCTTTCCAGACAAGTATTAAGCAATGATTTAACTATCGACATTCAGATTGGCTGAATAAATCTAAGTTAATAATAAACTACCTACTTCTTCCTCTGAGCTCAGTTTCCTTTTTTTGCTGTCTATCTGGTTTGGAATCCGAATGTATAGCTTAGAACACTATCATTTGACAGACAAGCTCTGGCTAAGGCCTTCTCTGTGTGCTTTTGGGGATGTTTCTCTCTTAAGAGGACCATTTTCCATTTTAGAAACTAGTGTCAAAAGGCTTGGAGGTGAATGAAGAGGAGGAGGGGAAAGTTAGAGAGACCCTTTCAAAACCAAAATTATATGTTCAAATGAATATGTTTTCTGTGTCACTGTAATATTCAGTGTGCAGAATCTAAACTACTTGTCAGCATCTATACTGTGTTTTACACTTCACTTAGGTAGGAGCCAGGTTCCCAGACAGGGTAGTTTGCTTATTGGTTGCACTTTTTGAGTCTCTGGGCACCAGCATAAGGAGGCAGTGTTTCAGTTGCATGACATTGACTAAGAAAACTTAAATAAGAAATATCTGTTATTTACCTCAGAATCACTAGCATAGCTTCTATAAACCTCCTTTTCAATGAAAATCATGCAGGGGAATTCTCTCTAACTGAACCCAAATTATTAAAGTTTCTCTATACAGTTAATTTTAAATTCCATTTAGCAGTCTTACACACATGTGTGTTCATTTCATCTTGTTCTATTTTTATTTCTCTGTTGTCTCTTAGGAGGACAAAACACAGGAATAATACTTTCATTCTACTGTCTCTAAGTGTCTTCGCAACTATCTGACATTCAATGGGAAGGAAAATTAAAAGTGGCATGTCTAACTGTTATCACATATACATACACCCTGAATGCCAGGAACACTTTGCTTCCGGTATTTTGTTGTTAAGTGCCGTGGAGTCGGTTCCGACCCATAGCGACCCTATATAGGGTTTCCGACAAGCAGCTGGTGAGCTTGAACCAACAACCTTGCAGTTCAAATAGCTTTGCAGTCTGGTACATTAACCCACAGCGCCACACCAGTATGGCAACCCCCAAGATAATGAAAATTAGGATTATGAAACACTTTCCTGTTATTTCAAATAGAATCTTCTCCAATATGTCTCTACAAATGGCTACCTACAGCCAAAGACAGTGGCACAGATAAGAAGCGCCTTCAGGTTCAACCTGTTTGTATGAATGGGCCTCAAATGCCACCACAGCCATCACCACCCTTGTCATACTGGGAGACAAAGGGAGACCAAAGTTCAGTGCAAGCTGTGTTCACAATGTTTTCACTTCTTACACACCCAGTCCAGTCCGGTGTCTGAACGTATGAGTCCTTGAGATGGTTCTTCTCATGGTAGCTGCTACATTAATCATTAAAAGCAAACATAATAACATTGTCAGAGGAATACACAAACCATATGCAAAGGAAGAAAACAAATCACTCATGCTTTCTAATTCCAGGAAAATGAATAATAAAATACTGCAACCCATTTGTGAAAAACTAAATGAATAAAAATTTTATTAAGGCGACATCTTGTTTGTTCTTCCATTTTTTATTTCAACAAATTTCTTAACGGGGAGAAACAAGTTTACTTAACATTTATGGGTAACATAATGTTACAATCCTGATTGTTTACAGGAGAGATGACATTTATGTAAAATGTATATACTTATAAGTAAAAATTTCCCAAGAAATTATTTTTTTCCAAAGACCAAAGTCAATGAGTGGTTTTTCAAAAGACAAAAAAGCCGTCATATAGAATACGCATGAAGAGTGAGGAACTTTCTAATCAATACCATGCCTGACATATTTGTGTAGCCCTTACTTTGGTTAGCTGTCATTCACTTGATTTTGACTCAGCTAGGACCCTGAGGAGAACTGCCCAATTGGGCTTTCTAGGCTCTAGTCTTTATTGTCATAACCTTTACTGGAACAGATAGCAGATCAAGCACGTCTTTCTCCCATGGAACCACTCAGTGGGTTTGAACCACCAACCTTTCGATTAGCATCTGAGAGCATAACCATTTCATCACTAGGGCTCCTGTGTGCATACCTCCAAACCCCCACCCCAAAAATGACACAGAAAAATGTCACTGTGAATGTATACGTTTGTGGAAATGAAATGCTCATCTCATTAGCTTCCTTACTAGGAGTTTATATTGTTACAACTTTGGGGCACTGATTCATATTCTTATAAAGCAATGTCCATTTACTCATAAGTGCTCTTGCTAGCTATTCACATTTGTTTGGGACAACAAATACAAGGTTACTCTCAATAATAAAAACAAGCATTGTAGTAAAACTTTCTCAATTTCTCAATAACTAATTTCTACTTGGACATTTCATTGATTTTCAGTAGAACAAACTGAATTCTCTTTAACTAGAAGTTACTTCTTTTTATTTCTTGATGCATAGCTTTATTTTCTAATGTTTATTTCTGGAGGACTCATTCCCTTTGCCTTTTTCTGATTTTCCCTAAAATTGGCCATTAAAAACCCTACTAGAGCACAGTTTTACTCTGACTCATGGGGTCATCAGGAATTCTAATTGCTTCCCCCTGACTCCCCTAACAGGTAGTGGTGGTCCTAGGGCTGCCTCTCCTGTACCTCTTTATTGCACACCCGGCTCCCACTTTCTTTTAAAAGAGTTTTCCTTGCATCCAGGGTTAAATCCTCAAGATTGCACGGGAAAACCAAGTTTGTCTGTTTTGATGACAATTTTTGCCAAATGCCAAATGAATGGAGCCCTGGTGGCACAGTGGGCTAACTTAACTATTGAGTTGCTAAACTGTAAGATCCATGGTTCAAACCCACCAGCTGCTCTGAAGGAGAAAGATAAGGCTTCTCTGCTCTTGCAGAGACTTATAATCTCAGAAACCCTAAGATGCGGTTTTACTCTGTCCTATAAAGTCTCTATAAATTGGTATTCACTCAGTAACAGTGGGAGGGTGTTTGCCAAATTAGTTTATTCCTCTTAAGCTCAGGGATATTCAGGAATCAAATGGCAACGTAGGAAGTGGTCAAGTGTCAAATGCCCTATATCAAAATGGTCCTCCTTGCCTTTTAACATATGAGTTGGGGGTGTTCCACTAATATCTCGGAAAAACAAATGCTGAAGTGCATTCTTCACTTAGAAACAAAGAAGAGGAACTCTGGCGTTGAGAAAGCCAGACCTCTACAGGTAGGGGAGGCCACTGCACCCTTAGAACAGCTTTGAGATGGTAATGAACCCATTTGCACTTTCTAAAACAATTTATTTTACTTTTGAGAAAGGACAGCTTACTTAGCTTCCCCTTCAAAGTCTGGGTTTCTGACAACCAGTTTTCTGACCTGAAGCAAATGAGTATCCACTAATTCTGGACTTGGTGCCTGTTAGCCACATTGTTGTTGTTGTTGTTAAGTGCTATAAAGTCAGCCCCGACTCATAGTGTTTTGGAGGGGCAGCTCTTGGGTTTGAACAGCTGACCTTGTGGTTAGCAGTCCAGTGTTTGTCCCACAGCACTACACCAGGACTCCTTAATAGACTTCAAATCCGAATCAAACAGAAGACGGTACACACGGTTTGTTTCCTTCTCTAACAGAAATGAAGCAACTATTAAGCCAAAGACTACTTGTGACCCTATTATTCTCACTCAGAGTTCTGTGTAGAGTTTTCTCTTTTCTTGCTTTTCAGTACCTTCCGTAATACACCTCAGATAACCTCTCATGGAACAAAACAATGCAATTCCAGTTTATGATAACAGCAGAATAAAGACAGTAGGCCCATTCCCCCACACATTTATTTTCGGAATTTTCCTGAAGTTAGGCTACAAGTACAAATATCCTCTACTACCAAAACTGCAGCTAGATGTGAATGACCTTCTGGACATAGACTTCTTAGGTCACACATGCGAACACACACACACACACACACACACACACACACACACGGGATCATTTGGCTTTAATACCTGTCATCCCCCCAAATCTAACCTGCCTGTCAAATCCAACCTGTGTGACAGGTGTAGGAATTAAACACAGTATTGTAACCATTAGCCTCCCAGATAGAGGTTCACAACTGTTACCCCTGTGTTCCTGAACGCTTCCAGTCCCAAATGTCCCAACCCTGGATCTTGTTGACCTAGGCAGAAAGTTTTCGCTGCGCGGCTCACCTGTTTGTAGGCATCCAGGAGGAAGCTCTTCCAGACACAGCGAAGTCCCTCGGAGGTCAGCATGCGCCGCCACTCTCCGCGAGTGGACTTGGAGCGACTCAACAACAGCACCACGTGCTTGAGGAGAATGACTGAGTCATAGAGCGCCAGGAAGAGGCAGTTGGAGAAAAAAACTGGCAGAATTTGCAGTGTGATCAGCAAGTCTACGCTGACGATGCCCATCTTCTCTGTCTCCTGAATCAGTTCCCTTGTGAGCTCTGGCTCCCCTTCACCCTCTTATTTATAAGGGGGTGGCAGTAGAGGGGGTGGGGAAGGTAAGCGGGGAGGTGGGGTGGGGGAAGAAGGAGAAAAACTAAATTAAAAGGAAGCGCAAGTTGTCTCCTCTTTCAAAGAAGCAGTAATGGCCAGACCAAGTTCAGTCTCTCGGCCCAGCAGTTGGAGTGTACCCATCAATTCATTCAATTCGGAGCTGTTGCCTTTTTTTCTTTTTTTTTCAGAATTTTAGATGTTTTAAAAAACACAACAACAACTGGCACAACTGGCGTGTCTTGTTCCTCATCCAGTTATTCCTTTCTGAGTCCGTTAAAGACAAGCAGTTCTACTTTCAGCTCCAAGCACCTATGAGGCTGTGGCAAAGAGTGCAAAACTGTCTTTAGCTTTTCATTGCCTCTGTGTTCTTTAAACGTAGCCTGCTTCTGAAATTGCCAGAGTTTACAAAATGTGCTTAAGGGTAGTTTGGGGTTTTTGTTTTTCTTTCTTTCTTTCTTGACTCCGTTTTACACACACTTTCTGTTCTTCTCCCAGGCTGTCTCACCCTCTCATTTCCCCAGGAGCTTGTGACTTCTTTTCCTCACTCCCTCTGGCTTTACCTTCCTGCTATCTGTAGTGCAAAGTGCCTCTCTCTGCAGCCCAGTGAGTCTCCCTGAAGCCTTTTATACATTCCCTGGCTAATTGCTGCGATAGAGAAATGAAAGCCTAATCTTGGTAAAGATCTTGACGTCATTGAGAAAGAGGGCTTTACTTTGGCCAGGACTGCGGTGAATAGAAAAGCAAAACTCAACAACTTTTTTTTTTTTTTTTTTTAAAGAAGGGGGGTGGTGGGGGAGAGACAGTGAAATTTTGTTTTGTGATTTAAAGAGAGAGAGAGAGAAAAAAAAGCAATACGTTTGACAGCTCTTAGGAAGTACTTTCAAAATTTGAGAAAAGTAAGTTAATATAATGTGAAGTTTGATAAGGCAACTGTCCCTCTTCTGATTCTGATTCATTTATGAGAAGTTTTGAAAAGAAAGGATTCCAAAAGCCAGGTAGAAGAGAGACAAAGAGAGCTTACTTGTTGCTCCATATCTTGGAGTATATAAATACTTACATAAGGTCCTGGTCCCTTTATAGTGAGACTTTTTCTTTTCATCAGATTGGTGACCTTGGTTCTTTAAATATTTTTTAGTCATGATCTTATTTAAGAAAATGCAAAGACAGTTGTAAGGAGGAAAACTTTAAAACTATTTGAAAACCATTCTAGCATTTCTGAAAAGCTTCTTGCAGAAACTTAAGACAAGTTTTCTTTTCAGTTTTACTGAAGCCTCCAGTGCAAAAATGAAAAAAAAAATTTTTTTTTCAGACATGGAAGTATCTAGGTGACTAGAAACCTTCTTTTGGCTCCACTTTGACTATATGCAGATGAGATTAAAACTTTCCATTGAATGGCATTAAGATGCCAATAGGATGAGGAATAAATTCTTTTTAAGAGAGGTTTTTTGAATTCTGCACCTCTCCTGTTTCTGTTAGCATAACCCCCAAGAGGTCTAACCCTTTAGGAAATCCTGCTTTTCGCATGAAAATAAGTTTAATGAAATGTATAGGTAGTTGAAGCAGACTTTGAATTGGTTCAAGGTGCCACACTGATTCGGCTCAATGATTTGCCTCTCCCTTTAGTTTCCAGGGTAGGTTTCTAGACAGACAATGCTTTGGCAGAATGCCATGACTTTTTATCCACACTTAACAGACCACTTCTAAGGAGCTCTGGTAGCGTAGTGGTTACGAATCGGGCTGCGAACTTTAAGGTCAGCGGCTTGAAACTACCAGCCGCTCTGCGGAAGAAAGATGAGGCTTTCTACTCCCGTAAAGATTTACACCCTCGGAAACCCTGTACAGGGTCGCTATGGGTCGGAACCAACTCCATGGCACTTAACAACAACAACAGATCACCTCTAGGAATTATGTTTTCTTGGAAGAAGGACTGG